CATAAAAAAAATTAAAAAAAAAAAAAAAAAAAAAAAACTGTCGGCACTGTCGGCCGCAGACTGTTGTTAACAGTCAGATCATGCGCTCGAATCCTGTTGGAATCACATCCCTGATGGAATCACATGGACACACATGGGGTGGCTGGGCTCTACTCTTTCCCAGCGAAGGAACGAATCCGATTCGGATATTCGAAACCTTCCCAAGGGTTCAGCGGGATGGGAACAGCGGCGGCTACATCAAAACCACACCCCGTCCTAACAAGCTGAGCGGTACACGCAGGTAGCTGTTACCAAACAGATCACGAGCTCGAATCCCGACGGCATCAGAAATAGCGATAACGTTAGCTACTAGGGAAAAAAAGAAAGAGAGAAATGCAATTATACAGGCCAATGGCCGCACCCAAGAGCAGGACGAAAGAAGAGACGCCAGTTGTGGACCATGCATTGGAGTCTAAATCACCAATCCTACTTGCGCCTGTTGTTCCCTCCGGCTATACTCCGCACGATTTGGCGCGCCGAGCTCACAAAATCAGTAGGCTTTTCGCGACCGAACATGTCAACAACTCCCGTCCGATACGTTCATGAAAGTCCTAATGTTTCAATTTAAAAACAAAAACAAAAAGAAAGTCCTACCGGTAGTGCGAGTACGATATGCCCTTCGATGGATGGCGCACCGTGCGAACACGACTACCAGACCTTACTCTCCGAACGTGGCCGCAATTGCGGTTCGATTAGTTCAGGAAGCCGTTGCATGAGTCTGCTATGCTCTTCGTTACACAAGGGCATATGACTGATCGACGTACATGGGAAAAGGCTGAAGGACTGCATGGCTAATGCAATGTATAGAGCTCCTGCCTATGAAGCTCCCCTTTGCTTGCTATTCTTACGTGCCACCATCGCGTCCATCCTGAGACCTCATTAACCTATGACGTTCTGCGACTCTCTACAGCGTTCGATTTCAACACACGTCTCGAAGTGACGCCAGCCAGCCGCGAGTCCGAACATCCATGCAGAACCGAGTGACACGGATATCCATAAAATGTCCATACTCCTATTCATTTCACGTCCCAGCCCAGCGAAAACGAAACGAGGAAGCCAGCTGTGAAGGTTACTTAAGCCAGCAGAGCAAGAGTTCACCCAGGCTTTTTCTTTTCTTTTTTTTCCTTTTTTATTCTCCTTTTTTTCATTTACAGGTGGTTTGACAGCGCATAAAAATCACGGGGGGGAAAAAGAGAGAGAGAGAGAGAGAGAGAGAGAGAGAGAGAGAGAGAGAGACGCAGTAAGGGCGGGGGGGGCACAGGAGAGGACGAGAGGAAGGGAAGAGACAAAGAAAGAGCGTGAATCTGAATGTTCGAGTCATAGAATCATGGGCCCACTCGCATCTACGATAGCCACAAACCA